TTTTTATCTTTAGCTGTTAGACATCAGTTGAGTTTTAGGAACTCATCAGGGCAAGTTTTCACTATTTTCTGACATTTTTAGACCAAAGAATCAAATACATAATAGAGATTATAATCAGCAGATTATTCAGAAAATGTGTTAGAAGTCAGGTGAACTGTTGAACTCTGTATGGAAAACAGAAAGTTGTCTAAAAAGCACAAAGAAGCGTTCAGTTTTAAGATTCAGTATTCAGTTTGAGTCGCTCTGCAGATGGGCCCGGACTACCTCGGCTTTTAAATCCAGGCTGGACTTTGCTTTGTGTTGACGGACAGGAAGGAAAAATATTAAAACCACCTGTTCTTGTTTCTGCAGCAAGATGTCGAGAAGTTCTCAGACATCGAAAAACTCTACCTCTACCTGAAGTTGCCTTCTGGTCCCAGCAGCACTGCTGATAAAAGGTAAGGATGCTTTCTGAGTTAGTTTATAGAAAAATCAATGTTTTATTATAAAACAGGAACCTGCTGAAATGATTGAAACAGTTTATTGTGAAAAGGAAACAACGATGACCGCAGAGCCTCGATTAGCTTTGACAAAAATCAGTACTGTCGGTCAATCAATGATCCGCTTGTTTCCTCAGCGACCAGAGCGCCTTGTCGTCGAGCCGCACACAGCAGATGCACGCGTTCAACTGGATCCGCAATCATCTAGAGGAATACCCGGAGACCTCTCTTCCCAAGCAGGAGGTCTACGATGAATACAAGTACGTATGAACAGCAGGAGGAAAGTTTCTGCTTCACAGATATTCTCTTCTCTCCAGTGAGAATCATCAAAGCTCAGATTGTTTCGTCATTAAACACAAACACATAGTCACACGCAGAGACTGAATCCGATTTTTTTCCCCTCGGTGTTGATCTACTTTCTAGACAACAGCTACTGGTGTTTGAGCTTCTTTCTCCTCTAAATGAGTGCAGGCTAAAGCGTCAGTATAAATAGATGGTGGAGGCATGAGAATCACAGAGCAGCATGTGTCGGTAATATTAGAATGGAAAGTCTGAGACAGTCATTGAAATGCTCTGACAGTGTTATGTAACTGTCTTTTTAACTCTACGAGAACAGAAATACAGCGGCCTCCAGAAATATTGGCGCCTTCAGGACAAACAGGTGAAAAGGCTTTAAAGACACGTAACGCTCTGGTGCCGTAAAACCATCGCATATCTCTCTGCTGGCGGTCGTTTTCCAGCTTTGGTGCGACCAAAGGCCCAGTGGAGCCTCTAGAAAACTCACCAGTCAGTTTAGGAACAAAAAAGAGTGATTTGAGCAAGACGAGTGATTTGAGGACTTCAAGGTTCCCGGCTGAGTTTCTGACCTGTAGTAACCCCGCGCGGCTGACGCACAGTCCTGCTAATGGTTTCGCACTGTTCCACACATCTGCAGCTGGCGGTAACGTGCCAAGAGAAAAAGGAGCTGATGAGTTTACGTCCAATATTCACACTCTTTTAACTCTGCTTTTGAACTCCTGAGAATGATATCTGGCTCTTGGAGCTGCTAAATGCTCAACCAGCCAATCACATTCTGGCTCCTTGGAGCCGAGCAGGTCGAGTAATGTGGGTTTGTCAGAGCTTTTTTTTTTTTCTGCTGGAATCAACAGAAAAAAAACAAAACGGCAAAGTAAAAGGGCTGTAAAATCCGAAACAGTGAGCTGCAAGGGAGGGAGCAGAGTCAGGGGATAACTGGTGGTCTGTACGTTATTGATTTCATTCATTCTTTTGATGTGTTTCAGGAGCTTCTGTGACAATCTGAACTACCACCCGCTGAGTGCAGCAGACTTTGGAAAGATGATGAAAAATGTCTTCCCCAACATGAAGGCGCGTCGACTTGGCATGAGGGGAAAATCAAAATATCCTTTACTGGAATGGATTGTACCAGTCTGGCCTGTGTCTCTGGTCGCAGACCATCTGCTGCTGCAGTTCATAAGCTCTCTAAATATAGACGTGAAATGAAATAAAGTCCCCCTCTGCCTCCGAAGCAGAGGCATAATACACAGACCCTCAGGGGAGCCGCTGTGATCTTGACCTTCATGACACATTCACGATTTTTGTTTTTCTATTTAGCTCATGACGTCAAAGTGCACAACTTTGTTTATATTCATGACCTTCGTTGGGGTCAGTAATATTGTCGCTGTGTGAGGTGGGGTCGAGGCTCTTGGATTTCATGTCAGAGGGTAGAATAACAACACGTTGGCCTGTTGAGGGGAGTCAGCCTTGAACTCATGTTGGCTGAGAGCTCAGTGATTCATTGTCATTTATATCATTTTTCCAGGATTATCCCAAATATGAAATAATCTATAAAAGAATTGGTTTTGCGTCAACACATTAAAACACATACAAAAGCTGAGATCGTGTTTAAAGTAGTCTAAAGACTGATGTCGATCAGTTTCTTCTGGTTTCACTGAGTTCCATGAAATTACACATGTTTGTGTCGCTGTTACTTTTTAATAGTTAATTGTAGTTACGAATGCAAGTTTTAAAGTATTACAGGAAAGCCTGGTGGAGCTCCGCTCTTAAGGCAAGGCAGGTTTATTTGTATAGCACAAGTCGTACCCGAGATAATTCAAAGTGCTTCAGACAGAAGTACAAGAAGACAGATAAAATCAGAACATAAACACAATTATTAATTAATTACATTAAAAGCAAAGAGGCAGATAAAATCAATCCATAAAAACATAAATATAATCATTAATTAGAAGAGTACAGATAAAATACTCCCAGCTGTCATATGCACTAATAGACTATAATATATAATATAATAATAAACTAAATAGAACTGTTTTCAGCCTGGATTTGAACATTGTCAGAGGTGAGGCCTGTCTCACATCTTCTGAAATCCAGTTCCAGATTTTAGCTGCATGAAACTGGAACGTAGCCTCACAGTGTTTGGTCCTGACTCTGGGCACCAGCAGGAGACCCTCACTGAGGTTCTCAGAGTAGAAGTGGCAGTAGTAGTAGTTCTAGTAGTAGTGGTAGTGGTAGTAGTAGTTCTAGTCTCACCGTGTTTGGTTCTGACTCTGGGCACCAGAAGGAGACCCTCCATGAGGTTCTCAGAGCCCCACATGGATCATGTGGCACTAACATGTCAGAGATGTACTTTGGTGCTGGACCATGAAGAGACTTGTACACAAGCAAAGCTGTTTTAAAGTCAGTTAGCTCTAAAACAATACGATATTGTTTCCATGTGTTTCTGTTTTCCAGTATCTTAATCGTATAGATCAGGCTTAGACTTGGGCTGTTATCGATGCATATTTATGCACGAGGGTGAAATATTACTTCATTTTAATGAAGATATCGGCGTGCACGCTGTTCCTGCCGCTGCCATGGAGATGTGGCAGTATCATAAACTTTACTTTCACTAAAACACCTAAAACAGAAGAAAAAAACCAAACCTTTCTACCCTCAGCTTGCACAATGATTTGCTATAATTCATTTCTGTGTTTTTTGAGTTGGCACACGGACTCACAAGCTAGAAAAAAAACCGAACTAAACCGACTCTGAAGATTAACCAGAGCCGGAAGCGTCTTCTGTTGAGTGAAAGCCAAATCATCTGCTTTCTAGATCTTGGATCTGTTGTTTCAGACCAGAGTGAAAAGCGTGAGCTCCCCTGAAAACCATGATATAGTTCATGGAATAGTTCACAGCTTGTAGCGTTAGATGGGTTGAAAAACTGTCCTGGTCGTTGTTACGTGATGTATTTAGAATAAAAAACGTGGGCAGAAGATGCTTCAAGCTGCTCAGACATGTTTATTTATACATAATACATACACACATGTATAGTTTTCTCCAGTTTACATTCTACTGATAATATTTAAAGATCTTGTATTATCCATATTTGTGTGTATTTTTTGGTGGAATCTTGTTGATTTTTTGTCTTTAACACTCTCTCACATATTGCTATAGTGGACTAAGGAAGAGACCCTTTGTTCACATGCCATCTCTGCCCACTCTGGACCTCCATAAAACAGCAGACGGAGTAAGCACATCTACATCTACATCTTCCTCTTCGTCCCTCTTCGTACTCTCTCTACATTTTTGCTGCCATGTGCTGAGCTGTGTGTGTTTATCCTCACCTCTCCTGTGTGTAGCACCAGTGTGATGCACTCGAGTCACCGGGCCAACTCAGCAGCATCAAGGAAGAGGTGCGATTTGCAGCCTGTGATCTGGTGTGCGAGTGGGCCCAGAAGGTGCTGAAGCGCCAGTTTGATGCTGTGGAAGACTTGGCTCGCTTCCTAATCGACAGCCATTACATCAGCAACAAGTCTTTGGCAGCGCTCACCATCATGACGGGAACAGCAACAGGTAACGGCGACGCTGGCTTCATGCCGCCTGTGGACCAAAAGGACAAGTCAGTGGAGACATCTAGTGGCAGCTGCATGTTACTGCACCCGTTTTACTGTTGTCTGTGGGAGTTGTGTTTAAAGTGGATTAATCATGTTATTGTTAAAGTAAATGTAAAAATCAAGTGACAACGTCTATAGAAAGATAATATCTATCTATAGAATTTTCTCTAATCTTTCATTTTTGTGTGTTTCTTTAGTTTAATTAAATATTGAATATGTTTTACCCTTTTTTTGGTGTTGTGGGGAAGAGTTTTGACATTTAAAATGTGGCAAGAGTGTGAGAAGAATTCAATCTTTCCCAGTGTTTGTCTTTTATCAGCTAACCATCATTTTTTGTAAAATTTTAATCCCAAAAGTTACCAGAAAAATGCAAAAGAGCAAAACGTCTTCTACTCTGAGATTTTTTGAACTACAACAATAAAATAGTTTAATCCTGTAGAAACGTAATAACGACCGACAACGTAATAAATCTGCCGTTTTTAAAATGTAATAGACCAATGAAGTAATAACTGGCCAATAACGCAATAAAAGTCCTGAACCGATAATAACTTGGAGTTAGAGACCCCTGCTTTTAGATATACATCAATGTCTTTGTTTTCTTCTTCAGAGGTCAAAACTCCGCAGACTGTCTCAGTCTTCGCTCCGGCTGCGGAGGTTCACTCCTTCCAGCCTCACGTGGCCACGCTGTCGTCTCCGTCCGTCGATGCCAAGCAGCAGCTCCAGAGGAAGATCCAGAGGAAGCAACAGGAGCAGAAGCTGCACTCGCCTTTACCCGGAGAGGCGCAGAACAAGAGGACAGACGACAGCGTGCCTTGTGGTAGCCCCACCCCTCCGTCGCCTCAGCCAACCATCGGCATCGTGGTCGCCGCTGTCCCGAGTCCCATCACGGTAAGAGACCGGCATAGATCCCAGTACACAGTGTCTCATTTATCCTAAAACTAAAATTATCTACAGTCACTTGAAATGAGGCATAAAATGGGACACGATTTAGTTGTATTAATGCTTAGAACGTGATAAACCAATTTACATCCACATATTTTAAATTTGCCAACTCAGTAAATGTAATAATTACTATTAATGACTTCCATCTGACTGCTGCATCACTTTAAAGTCCCAGGTCCTTCTAATAAGTAATGAAACATTGAATGTGCCTGCATCAAATAACAAATAAGATTATTTCTAAATATGTTTTGTAAGCAATAAATCTGAGCAAAGTACATTAAAAAAACACGGCAACAGAATCAGTCGGTGATGTTTTACTTAAGCGACTCCACATTTTGTGGCATCTGTAACATAAACAAAAAATTATTATTAAAACATTTCATTTTGGGTGTCATCATCAAAAGCGGGCTGCACGCAGGCTCGGTGGTGCCTCGTAGCTAGAAGGTCGCCAGTTAGGACACCCGGGATCTTTCTGCGTGGAGTTTGCATGTTCTCCTCGTGCAGCTTGGGTTCTCTCCAGGTTCTCTGGTTTCCTCCCACAGTCCAAAAACATCCATCCATCCATCATCTATACACCACTCAATCCTCTCTAGGGTCATGGGGGGCTGGAGTCTATCCCAGCTGACTCAGGGTGAAGGCAGGTTCACCTGGACAGGTCTCACCAGTCTATCACAGGGCTACACTTAGAGACAGACAACCAAGCACACTCACATTCACACCTACGGACAATTTACAATCACCAATTAACCTCAACATGTTTTTGGACTGTGGGAGGAAGCTGGAGAACCTGGAGAGAACCCACGCTGCACGGGGAGAACATGCAAACTCCACGCAGAAAGATCCCGGGTGTCCTCACCGGGACATGAACCGGCGACCTTCGATCCACCTCGCCAAATTAAAAATGATTGGAAAATGTCCATGTGTTGAGAGTGCACTTCTCAGCAGTGGAACTCCAACTAATGAATGTACAGATTTAAAAATCATTGCTGTCCTGAAGATGGTGTTTCACCTTCCTAGAATCAAACGGTAGAAGAGACCAAGATATGGAACCCTCAGCTCAATAAAAGCCGTTACAACACAGAGCAAGTAATCGTATGTGCTGAATACCTCGTTTGCTTCGACCTCAGCTGCACCGACACACGCTGAGCAGAAAGCCATTCACAGCCTCGCACATGGAAACGCACACACACACACACACACACCTACACACACACACACACTCATGGACGCACTTTTTGGCTCCCTGACTTCTGAAACGAATCCGACGTCTGTGAAAAGTACTCGCTGTACGGAATGACATCTGTCAATGTTATCATTCTATTAATGCAGCGTTGAGGCGTTAAAATATAATCTGTACTTCAGCGCTGCAGCAGGATGCGGTGGGAATAGTCTAAACTGCTTCATATGAGGCTGAGTGGTTAAAACTATTTCAAGATGATATTAAATAAATTGGTCACGCTTTGCATGTCAAGTCTTAATCTGAGAAGTAAGTCGTAACTGTAGTTGTCAGAAAGATGAGTTGAATTATAGTGTAATGTTTCTTCCTGAAAAGTAGAAGTAAAAAGCTTTCAAAATAAAATACAAGGAGCTCCACATTGTACTTAGGCGCAGAAGCTGATTAAATATGTTAAGTTACATTCCACCACTGGAGAATAATTTATAATATTAAATATAATAATGATTAATGAATGACCTGCCCAGCTGCTAAACTTTTTTGGTGAATTTTATTTTCTTTACTCGGTGCTGTGAGTCTGTGACAATTTTTTTGTTTTTTTCCAAAACTTTTCTGGTCTTAACTTTGGGTTGATGTTAGATGATGTTGTCTCACTGATATTCTGTGATTTTAAATTGATGTATATTTAATGTTGTTTTGTGGATGGACCCCAGGAAGACTAGCAGCCACCTTGTGGAAGCTAATGGGGATCCGAATAAAGAATAAAGAATAAAGAATATAGGTTAGATCGGCAAATCTGTTTTAGTTTCACAAATTTATTTATGGCAACAAAACTGTGTAACACGTGTACCCTCCTTCAAGGTAATGGCAGTTAAATTATTACTTAAACTAAGAATATCCCATCATGGGATTTTTTAAAAACTTCATATTCATCCATTCAGTCATTCATGCTGGGGGAGGATGCTGAGGACCCTCAGTTTCCATTGTCCTGCAGCACACACAATAAATTCTTACTTAAATTCTTACAATCCAACAGCAGTAAAAGAGGACTACATGGCAAATGAGATATATGTCCAATTTTATGAAACTAAAACGTTGAAATTACTTCATACATTGTCCAAAACTTTACAGTTTAATCAGTAATTCAGTGGTTTCACTTTGAGCTTGGTCTTTTCTCTCTGCAGGTCCACAGAAGCAGACAGCTGATGTCTCCGAGTCCAGTGGGACCGGTGGAGAGCAAAGTGCTGCCTATTAACTTCCAGATGGTGGCCCAGCCAGTTCAGGCGGTGAAACAGAGCCCCAAAACCCCCCAAAATATCCTAACCAGCCCAGCAGGGGAACGCACAGCACGGCAGCGCTACGCTCAAATCCTGCCCAAACCTTCGGCCACCACCGCCATCGCTCTGCGCTCGCCCTCCACCATGATCATCGCCAACAGCCCCATCAAGACCGTGATGACCACGTGTCACGTCAGCCCGGTCAGTCTGGTCAAGATGACAGCCATATCACTTGCACCCAGCAGCAGTGAAACCACCACATCCCTTACGAACTCCACGCTGCGGCCGGCATCTGCAGGCTTCAGCTCTGCAGTTGCGGAAGACATCGGCTCCAATCAAAGCATGAGGAGTTCCTCTACAGTCCCCATTCTGGCCCCGGTGGCCAGACCAGGGCAGACCGCCAACACTCAGAGCATCGATGTTGAAATGGAAGTTGAAGCTATACATAAAAACAGCCAAATGCATGATCCAGGCAGTCAGGTGTCGACTCAAGGAGCAATGACAAACAGACTGGGAGGGGCTGTGCAGAGGGCTGCCAGTGTGCCCATACCTCAAACTAAAGGCTTCCTGGGTCTGGAGGAAACATCCAGCTTGATGTGCAACGGAAATTCCTCCTCAAGCACCAGCACTGTGGCAACAGCTGAAAGAAGCAATAATAGCGCTAATAACACAAGCACTTTGCACGTCACTCCCTCCACTCAGAATACCAGCACTGGTTCTTTACTGAACACCAGCGGAGCGCCTTCGTTTGGGGAAAGCAGCCAAGCAAAGCAAGGTTTCTTGTCCACAAAGAGCCTCAGGAAACGCTCAGGACACAGTCCAGACCTTTCTCCAGTCAAAAGGGTCTTCATGCCCCAGCAGCCAGTAGAGGGCGCTGCTGCGTTTGGATATAGTGTCAGAAACACTGTTGGCAACATCCTCAGGCCAGGTGCTCCGACTAGACCTGAAAGTGCGCCAGTCACCAGGGAGGTAGAGATGAAAATGAACTCTGTCTTGTCACCTCAAGTCCCTGCACTCTGCACTTCCTCTTTCAGAGCCAGTGGCTTTTACTCTGTTGCCAAAACACATAGCTCAGTGCAGAGGAAAAACACTTCGAGTGTTATGGAAAGCAACACCTCGGTCAGTCACGCATTAATACAACAACAGCAGGGCCACACAGTGGCTAACGTGCATGCCATACCTAATAACCCCGGTTTTCAGAAGCATTCAGGTGTGAGTTCAAACTCAATCACAGGGAGCCTGGAAGGAGTTCCACCGCAGACCTACGCTCAGTCTAATCCTGAAACCTTAGAGTTTTTGAATCAAGCTTCATCATCCAGTCAGCTGCCTATGCAGACAGATATGGACTACTTTTCCTTTGATGACGATGTGACTCAGGACAGCATCGTGGAGGAATTGGTGCAGATGGAGGAGCAGATGAAACTTAACAACCTGCAGGAGTTTGGGAACTGCGTCGCACTGCAAGGCCAGCAGCCTGTGATGCCGGACAGCATGACGACCACCCATCAGAACATGACTGCTTTCTATCACGCTGCAAACAACAGCAGCAACCCGATCCAAACTCCGACACCGACACCCACGCCCACGTCAGAAATGATGGGAGGGGCCCAAAGCCTGACCGGAGAGAGCCCCTGCTCCCACATGGCCTCCACCACCCCAGTGGACAGCGCTCTGGGAAGCAGCCGTCACACCCCAGTCGGTACTCCGCACTCCAACTGCAGCAGCACGGTTCCTCCCAGTCCAGTCGAGTGCAGGAACCCGTTTGCATTTACTCCCATTAACTCCAGCATTACCTGTTTCCATGACGGCAGCACCGTCTCCAGCAGCCCTGTGAAGCCCATGCAGAGGCCGATGGCCACCCACCCAGACAAGGCCCGGCTGGAGTGGATGAACAACAGCTACAACAGCAGCAGTGGGGGCGCAAACAAGTCCAACAGTGGAATGGGAATCCTTCCCAGCTATCAAGGCCTGATAGACGACCATTTTCAAAAACCTCACGCCTTCGCCATTCCCCATGCACGGCACCACGACAGCCACTTTGGCCGCTTGACTCCCATCTCGCCTGTGCAGCAGCAGGTAGCCAACATGGCCAAGCAGGAGGGTTTCGCTGTGCCTGCCCCTCTGGATAACAAAACCAGCAACACATCTGCTGCAACCTTTCGATGTCGCAGCGTAAGCCCCGCAGTGCATCAGAGGAACCTGAGTGTGAATGCAGTAAACACAGCCCTTCCCAATGTCCCTCGTTCAGTGGTGTCTCCCTTTAATTCTCCTGTGACGCCTGAGGTGTTGAACATCTTTGCGAACAGCCAGACGAATCTTGGGGTGAGCAGCATGGCTCAGAGGAGCCGCTCTGTGCCGCTCAACATCATGATGCAAACTGAGGTCCTGCCCAACGCGGGCCAACAATGCAGCAGCAAAAACATCACCAGTGTCCTCCTGAGCAAGCTGGACGGGGACCACGACGACACCATGCGAGGCGTGGGCATCAATAATCTTCCCTCCACCTACACTGCACGTATGAACCTCACCCAGATCCTGGAGTCCAACGCCAGCCTCTCCTGCACTGACAGCCACCTCAGCCTGATGGCCTCTGACTCCACCAGCACATGCAAGATGCAGAGGCCCAATTACCTCATAGAAAATGCTATTAATGAACAAATGATTCTCTCAGCGGGAGATAGCCAAGTACAATCAGCCTCTGGAGCGCAGCAGCAACACCAGGCCCAGTCTTTAATGTTGGCTTTGAGCTCGCAGCAGCAGCAGCAAGAAGAGCTTCAGCAGCATCAGCAGTTAGATTTCAGCAGCACTCAAGACCTCCTGACGGACGGCAGCCTTTCTGCTGGCAGTCAGCTCCTGGAGCAGGTGTCGGAGCTCTCGGCAGGGGGCGCAGATTTCCCCTGTGAGATCAGAATGACATCGGAGCTGTCCAGCAGCATCAATGACCTTAATGCACTGGACACAAACCTGCTGTTTGACCCCAACCAGCAGCAAGGGCAATATCAACACGCTGCTCCAGAGGAGCTGGTGAGTGATCCGCTGTTTCAACAGATTACCAGCGAGACGGGGCACTCGAGTGGACTTGACTGGTTGGAAAGCAAAGATCATCCAACCGTTGGGTTGATGGGATGAGAACGGAGCTGTTTTTTTTAAAGTCATGTTGAACATGTTAATCTGTGGTTGCTGTTTGTTTTATTTATTTTCAGGCATTTACACTTTATAATGCAACACTGGACACTATGAGGTTTGTCCAGTTTAAGTGCCAGGCTAAACTGAGAAAATGCTGCAACACTGATTAAAATGCTGGTCATTTCCCTTTAATGAGAGAACGTCTCGTCACGGTATTTGTTCGAGAGAGTTTCCAACGAGGAAACAAAACAGAAAAGAATCTAAGTTAAACCTGTTCTTCTTAAGTTGCATTTAATATTTCACTGAACAGTCAGCAGTTGGAAAACATCCAAACAGAGCCATGGATTTCTCAGTGTAAATAAAAGTCAAAGATTATAATGAATAAGCCTTTTACAGTAACACTTGTGACAGCTGCAGGCGACGTGTAGTTAAAGGTACAAACCAGCTGATTATATTTACCGCTGAACTAACAATATGTCATAAACCAAACATTTGTGTGTCGTTTAGATTCACTGAAAAAAACTGGAGGAACTTTTTTTTTTTTGGATATTAACTTCACTTGACATTAAGGTGTGTAAAAGTACACACACACACACCTACAGTTTAGAGTAGTGACAAAAACACAGAACCAAAATCATCTCTGTAAATCCATCTAATATAATCTGATGATCATAATATATAAGAGTTGGCATGGAGTATATAGCAGGATGTGGTTACATTTACAATAATACTTGTATTAGCTATTTATCTAATCATAAATATAGTATCCTTTAACTATTGTTCACTTTGATGGAATACATGAAAGGTATCTGATAAAAAAAAAAACTTCCATACAAGAAAGTGATATACTGTATGTATCAACGGAGATAAAGTTAAAGTTTATAAGTTTTAGTCTCACTGCCGATAAACATGGAGAGCCAAGTCAACCAGACAGCTCACACAGATGACCGCAATAATATAATTAGGTCGTTTAACGCACTAATTTATCTTTACAAATCCAATAAATTGAAAAAAAAATAATCATAAAGAAGCCCCACAATCGATTTAAAATTACCTGTAAAATGTACATGCAATACGCTACACAGAAAAAATGATGCAACATTAAGCCAAGAGTAACGATTCTGCCCCTAAAAATAGCTTTAATTCTGCACTATTTAAATGGTGGTTCTGTCAAACCACTTAACCAGTAGGAGGAATAAAGTTAAACATTTATGACGGATGCCATTTACCGAAGAAATAACCCTCTGAACCCCAGGCAGCTTTTGAATCAGACACAGATTTATTACCAGATATAGTTTACACAATAAGAGGACAAGATTAAAATATAGAAATAGCTAAAAAATAAAAGTAAAAATAACTGTAATAGTGCAAAGCAGAAGCAAAAAATATTGTGAAGAATTAAAGTTAATTTAAACAAGAACCATAAAACTGTCGTATTATTTATAAGAATATTGAGGGTACAGATAGACTGATATTTACATGTATACAGATTGGGCATCTTTTGCTCCTGTCACATATTTCCATAGAAGTAGAGAAAACTTCTGTCATACAAAAACAAAAGTTAAAACCCATCGTGTACAAAATGTTTCCATGTAGAGCGGATATGAAAGGAAGAAATGGTGACGCTACACGCAATAGATGTTTTACTGCTTCCAATTTGTATCCGTACTCGTCTCCTCTCTAAACACAGCCTGCAGTTCAGCCAGATTTTTGTCGTGTGACTGGTGGTTGCAGCCTGGTCACTGTTAACCCCACGGTTACACTGAGGCGCACAGAATGCTTTAGTTCTGTACAGAATCTGGTTACTGTAAGCATTTACTTGTGCAAGGAGGATTGGTGGTTAGCACCGTTGCCTCACAGCTAGAAGGTCTCCGGTTCACGTCCCGGTGAGGACACCCGGGATCTTTCTATGTGGAGTCTCCATGTTCTCCCCGTGCAGCGTGGGTTCTCTCCAGGTTCTCCGGCTTCCTCTCACACAGTCCAAAAACACGTTGAGGTTAACTGGTGATTGTAAATTGTCCGTAGGTGTGAATGTGAGTGTGCTTGGTTGTCTGTCTCTAAGTGTAGCCCTGTG